GGTCGCGGATGAGCCGTCAGTGTAGAGGGTCCACCAGTCGTCCGAGGTAGCCGAGGGCTCCCCGTCCGTGGCTGCTCTTGCGGTACATTCTGTCACAAAGTCCGCTAGGGCTTGGCCCTTGATGGCAGGCCTTGGACGGATGTCAATGTTGTACTGGCTCAAGAAGATAGCCCATTTCACCATGCGGGAGGAGCTGGTGGGGCTCCTCATGAGGGCGCCGAGGGGTTGATGGGTGAGGACCTGAACCGGGTGAGCCTGAAAGTAGTGGCCCAACTTCTTGACAGTCCAAACGATGGCTAACACCGTTTTTTCCACAGGGGAGTACCTGAGTTCGGCCTCCCTTAGGGTCTTGCTAACATAGAAGATGGCATGTTGGATGCCGTCTTCCTCCCGGATGAGCACAGAGCTGATGGCCGCCGGGCTAACCCCAAGGTAGAGGTAGAGGGTCTCCCCTACCTTGGGTTTGGAGAGCACAGGAGGTGAAGATAGATATCTTTTGAGCTCGTCGAAAGCCCCCTGGCATTCTGGAGTCCATAGAAAGCCAGCCGTCTTCCTCATGATCTGGAAGAAGGGTAGAGACTTCTCTGCCGATTTAGATAGGAAGCGGTTGAGGGCTGCCAGGCGGCCCGTCAACCGTTGAACTTCCTTCACGTTACGTGGGGGCTCCATGTTGATGATGGCCTGGATCTTCTCGGGATTGGCCTCAATACCCCTTCGGCTCACCATGTAGCCTAAGAATTTGCCCCCTTGGACGCCGAAGGTGCACTTCTTCGGGTTTAGCCGAAGGTTGAATTTTTGCATGATGGCAAAAATTTCCCGGAGGTCGTCAGCATGGTTGGAAGATTGCTTGCTCTTGACGATCATGTCGTCGACATAAGCCTCCATGGTGCGCCCTAGGACGGCTTGAAAGACCCGGGCCACCATCCGGGTGTAAGTGGCCCCCGAGTTCTTTAGGCCGAAGGCCATCACTAGGTAGCAGAAGATGCCCTCGGGAGTCATGAAGGCAGTTTTTTCGGCGTCCTCCTCGTGCATGAAAATCTGATGGTATCCTCGGAAGGCATCGAGGAAGGACATGATCTCACACCCTGCGGTTTCATCCACCAATTGATCAATGTTTGGTAGAGGGAATGGATCCATAGGGCATGCCTTGTTGAGATCGGTGTAGTCCACGCACATGCGGAAGGTAGGGGGCTTCTGTGCGAGGACTACATTCGCCAGCCATGAGGGATATTTCACCTCCTTGATGTGCTTAATGGAGAGGAGCATGGCGACCTCCTTCTTCACAAACTCCCTCCTCTCGGCGGAGAGGGGTCTTCTTCGCTGTTGTACTGCTTTTGCCGAGGGGTCCACCGAGAGGCGGTGGGTGATGACCCTTCGGCTAATTCCCGGCATGTCCTCCGGCCCCCATGTAAAGACAGTGGAGTAGGCGCGGAGGGCGTCGGTGATACCGGTCTTCAAATCTTCAGGGAGCTGGGCTCCAATCTTCACGACTCTCTCCGGCTGGGCCGGATCGAGCGCAAAGTCTTCTACGTCCTCGGCCGGTTCAGCCCTCGGCCTTCTTTCCTCCTGGTCGACGGCTCCGGTGATGGTGTCAACACGGAGTTCCGTCTTGCTTACCTTCTTAGTGACCTGAAGATAGCAGGCACGGGCGATTTTTTGGTTCCCCCGGCAGTAGCCAAGGCCCCCCTCGGCGGGAAACTTGAGGCAGAGATGCCTCATGGAGATGATAGCTTTGAGGTCCTCGAGGGCTGGCCGGCCGAGGATGATGTTGTGAGCGCAGTCAATGTTGACGACGACGAACTCCACTTCGAGCTGGGCTCTATGGAGCCCGTCGCCGAAGATCACCGGGAGGGTTATTACCCCCTCGGAATCAATAGTATCGCCGGTGAAGCCGGCAAGAGGGGTCTTAATAGGCCGAAGGGACCCCCTCTCCAGATGCAGCTCCCTGAAGGTGCTGAGGTACATTACATTGACGGAGCTGCCCGTGTCAATGTAAGTTCGGTGAATGATGGTGTCGTTGATCTCCGTTCGAATCACCAAGGCATCCCGGTGAGGAGAAGAAGTAGGAGGGAGATCTGCGTTGGTGAAGGTGATGGGTTCCTCCCTCAATCGCTTTACCGGGGGCATATGAGTGACTTCCCCTACGTAAAGCGATTGAGCCCACTTCTTTCGCTGGCTGGTGGAATCGCCCCCTGTGTTGCCACCGGTGATCATGAGGATGTGGCGTTTTTTCTCCTGGTAGTGGGGGTATTCCTCCTCCTCTTCTTCCAAGTTTCCAATCTCCCTTTTCTTGCCGAGGGGGATGGTATTCGGGTTTACCCAAGCGTTTACCTTCGTGTGATGCCCTCGGGGAGGCCCCTGATGAGAAGGTCCCTCCTGCCGAGGGCTCTGGACAAATTGGGACAGGTGCCCCGCTTGTATTAATCTCTCGATGGCCGTCTTCAGCTGATGGCAGTCATCGGTCCTGTGCCCCTGGTGCCGATGGAAGCGACAGTAGGGGAACTGAGGGTTGATAGCGTGTACCTCCGGGGGTGCGCGAGAGTCGCGCTCAACGAGGCCCCTCTCCTCTGCAAAATCGAGGATGATGCTGACGGGATGCGTCAGTGGTGTCCGAGGGCGGTCCAGGAGAATGGGCTGGGCCCAAGTCTTAGGGTTGCTCCTATAACCTCCCCCGGGCTTGGCTTGGCCTTGCCGAGGGCGGTCATCAGAGGGTCCCGAAGCCTTGGGGCGATTTGGAGGAGCCCCCGGCCCTCGGTTATGCTTATTGTCAGCCCTCGGGGGCTGCTGGTCCGGGTGTTGGTGATACTTCTCCACCTCCTCGGCCTCAGCATATCGGTCCCCCCGCTGCAAGGCCCTTATGTAGTCGCGGGGGGGTTCAATGATGAGGCTCCTTGAAAAGTTGCCGGTGCGGAGGACGGTTTGTAGGAGGGCCAGGAGGGTCCCGTCATCAGCACCGTCGGCCTCCGTCCTCCAACGCTCCAGGAAATCCCGAAGGGTCTCATCCTTCTTCTGGCGTATTGTTAGGAGGTGGGAGAAGTGCTTCCTTGTGCGACGCCTCCCGGCAAATTGTGTCAAGAACCGCTGGGCGAGTTCTTGCCATGAATCAATACAGCCCTCGGGCAGCCTGTTGAACCATTCGTATGCTGGTCCCTCTAAGGTGGAGAGGAACCATCGACACAAATATTCGTCTGATGCCCCCACCATCATCATGCTGTTCTGGTATTTGCTGTAGTGCTCCTGGGGGTCCGTTTTCCCGCCGTAGGGCTGTATGTGTTGCCCTCGGTACTTCTCCGGGACCCGGGCCGCCAATACCCTTGGGGTAAATGGCGTCCGAGTCCGGAGCTGGATGACGGGCTCCCCGGAGCCCTCGGCCACCTTCTTCTGTAACTCCTCCATCTTGGCCACCATGGCCTCGTATTTGAGATCTGAGTGAGGGGTGGAGGTGGTGGCGTGAGCTTTGTTGGACTCCATTTCGTCAAGCCGGCACTGGAGGGCCGCAATAATCTCGTCCCGGGGGTCCCTCGGGAGGGTTTCCGCCCCCTGCGAACGAACCCGGGCCGAGTGGGCCTGGTTGATTTGGTGCCGAGCATCATCGGCATGAAGGGGTGCCTTGCCTTTGTCCCGAGGGGGACGCTCCTCGTCTGCCCTCGAAACAGATCCCCCGCTTTCCTGGGGCCTTTGGAGTGCTTTCCCCCCGAGGCGGTCTTGGACCCCTCGGCGGTCTGGCCCTCCTCTGAGCCGGTTGAGGGCGGAAGTACGGGGCCTCTCCCTGTTGTCATTATGGCGGTCCCGGGACTGAACTTCCTGGGAGGATGTATCTTGGGCCACCACCCCTTCATCATTTCTCACCTGAGGGGTGGGATTTCCGAAGGGGTGCGGCAGAGGGGGAAGTATGATGTTTTCCCCGATCTGAGGGTGAGCTGGAGCCAGGGTGCCGAAGGCACCCGGGTTCTGGGTGAGCGTCTGGATGAAGGCGGAGAGCGCCGATTGTACGTCGATGGTGAGAACCGGAGGGCTGACTTGGTCATCGCTCCGGTTTTTCTTCTTGGCCTCGATGCCGAGGCGGGCATCGGGGGCGTTTTGTTGGATCTGAAGGCGTAGGTCGACAGCCGCCTGTTCCAGCCCAGCGAGGACACCGCCCTCGGGAGCCCTGTGAGAGGCTTCGGGGGCGTTGACGTCGCCGAGGGCCAGGTTCTTGTCTTCTACGTTCTTTGAGTTGGCACGTGTTGTCCTCACCATTTTGGTAGAGGGCTAGTGTTTGTGTGTTTGGTCGAGGGGGAGGGTTTCTTACTCGATTGTTCGACCTCTCAACGAGAGCACCAAATGATGGATAGTCTACCCGGGGGTATATATCCGAAGGGTTATCGCGGGGAGTAACTTAGAGAGAAGTCAGAGCAAGTGAATATAGAGAGAGAGTGTATTATAAATGTGGAGCGTTTTCAGCGTGGTTACAAATGAGGAAATGGGGTGCTATTTATAGTAGCAATAAATGCCGGGCAGGGACACGTGTCAAGCGCTCATTGGCCGAGGGGTCACCTCAACTGGTTGGCGCTGACAGCCGCATGTGGCCGCATTTAATGCGGCTGTTGGATGGGACGTCTGTGCAGAGTACGGTGATCTGTACGCATGTGAGGCGGATATCTTGTCGAGTGAGATGCCTTCGGCCATAGAGCAGTAGCCGAAGGCTCCTCCAACCGAGGGCACTTTGGTGCCGAGGGCTCATAGTACCGAGGGCTGCTGTTTTCGCCTTTTTCTCCCAGTTTCTTAGTTTGCTTGAGAAACCCGCTCCGTGACAATTTGGAGCCTTCGGCCAGGAGTCCGAAGGCACCCCTGTGCGTTGTGCGGACTGCTTGGTACTCTGAGCGCTGTGATTTGGGCCTGTTGGGCCTTTTGGACCGTTGGGCCTTTCCTGGAGTAGTAGGAGTCTGTGGGCCGGGGGTTCCCGGGCCATATACTCCATCAAACTCTTTCACTTAAGATAAGATATTCTTGCCTTCCCATTTACCAACCCTTCCATTGCTATTACCAATAATACACCATCCAAACAGGCCTTATGTCGAATTCATTGGCGTAACTGCTTAAGTTGAATTTCAACATAGCTTTTCAACATTTCGACGATCAATTTGCAGTGCATCTGCGGAAAATAGTGTACTGGGAGGGATGAAGAAACCGGGAGGAGCAGAGAAGAAGAGGGTCCGCCGATCAACCGGTTCTGCACCTAACGGTTCGTATTCCTCCACGGATACTCCTCCAAAGGTAGCTCCGAGGTCATTATCCTCAAATACACACTCATTAACGTGTCAATCACTTTGTTCTACCAGACATATGTGTTCCATTTCGTAGATTCTCTTTTTGAGGAAAAGCAACAACAGCTTGTTCCTTTTCAGATAGATCCACGAAAATGGAGGAAAATGCCTCCTTTTGAGAGTCAATAGAATGTATGAATATTTTCCTTTTATAATAAAAAATAGGAAAGATTCAAACGTGAACTCGTGATTTTACAAGAAACTGAAATGATATTAGTCCAGATCATTCATATTTCCTTACATTTCAGATTTTTCTCTCTAGAAAACAAAAGAAAACAAACTCATATATGGGGTGTACTGAATCTACTGCTAGCTTTCTATAACTGCTGAAGGATAATTGGACATTGAGTTTTGATGTAAAGAGTGGAACGATTACCAAATAGCATTTCATAAATTGTCAATGGTAAGCCTGCAGCTGTTTTCCTTCCATTTTATTGACATCCTGATGAACTTTCATCAATTTATTTATCAATTGTTCATGTTTTTTCAACCCTTACCCTTATCTGTTTATTGACTCAATTAATGGTTTCTTAGTAATAATATTATTTATTGTTTACGGGAAACTTCCTGGAGCAAATTTTAGGTTGTTGGTATTGCGCAAAAGGCTCTCTACTCTGCACGTTTATAATATACCCTAGGAAATTTCCAAAGGTGACATGTGAAATTTCCTAAGGTGGCCAATTGGCCATTTTGAAAAATGCTAAAACCTAACATTTAAGGGTCACATCAGGAAACGTCCCTTTATTTATTTCATGCTTGTTTTACTATACATACTTTTCCCTATTATGCTGCAATTCTTTTTCCTACCACAGAAACAAGCTGCAAAGAAGGATGTTTATCAGTTATTTGCTGAGAAAGTGAGAGATCACAAAGACTTGATGTCTAGATGGGCTGTCCTTCAGGAGACTCGAGTTGAGTATGTCAGGGGAAAAGACCTTGTAAAATTTATGAAGAATCATCCAGAACTTAAAGACGTACTAGATTCAGATAAAAATTTGGAAACTGAGGAAATAGCTAGTGCTCTGCTTCAAAAAAATTTACTAATGCGTTGTGACCGTGTGGTAAAAACTGTTCGGCCCGGAAAGAAAAAGTTATCTACCTGGCCAGCACATTTAGAGATATACCATGTATGTTCTATTCTATCACATTCAGTATTTAAATAGTATGGTTATGTGACAAATTGATTTGATGACAACAGTTTGTTAAGAGTCCATTTTCTAAGACCTATTTAGCTGAAATGAAATGATTGAATGTGCTGAATTTTCTGAAAGGACGTGTCTGCCATATCCCAACTACCCTCATAACTTATTGCTGCTTTTTGTCTTTTTATCCTGGTCTATAGAAAAGTTATCCTTCGTCCTTACAAATTTGTATACTTGTTGAGTACTTGAGTTATTGTCTATTTTTCCATCATTTGCAATGGAGCCAAAGACTCACTCTTTGTTGGCTTGGGAATATGATGGAATAAAGCAAAATGGCTCACTAAAGTGTCTGCGCTTCTTTGATATGAAGCAACAGTTAGTCCATGCATATTTTCGACGTGAATTTCACTATGGGTCATCCGGAAATAGTCTCTCTGTGCTATAGTACAGGGGTAAGACCGCGTACGCCCAACTTCTCCTTACCCCCCGTCGGTGGGAGCTTTTGCGGCACTGGGTAATGAACTAATGATGATGACGTTGAGTTGTTCGCTATATAACTTTCCTTATCTATGCAGGATCAAGTGTTTTCTGAAAATGATGCCTTTTTCGCATGGACATTTGCGAAACGAAGTGCCCTTTGGCAGACACTCCTCTCATTCTCCTGGCCACTTTTGACATTGGCAATCTGCTTATTTCCTGTGTATCCACACAGGTGCAAGCTGGTTATACTCTACACTTGTGCAAGTCTCCTCCTCCTCATACTTAGTCTTCTTTTAGGTAAGTTATGTCATGCTTAAACAATGTTGGCAGTTATATCGTGTATCACTCATCATAAAAGGATCTCCAAAAGTGAGGTTTATTTCACTTGTATACAAGACTGGAACTTAGTAGACAACCTATGTGAGATATTCAATATAGACCCCTCAGCTCAATTCATGCTGCCATGCTGGACAACTGAAGGGGTCAAGAAATGAGACCAAATCAACCCCAAATGAGTTGCCCCAAACCATGGAGTGGGTGGTGACTCACATACTATATTCAGTCTTGACTCTATAGTCTATTTATCTCACACCTAACTTATATATTATACTCACAATTATATAACCCTGGCATTCCATCTAAGAAGTTTTAATAGAAACTGTAATGATTGTGACCCAAAAGTACAAGACTGCATACACTTTCTAATGCAGTCTGTAGCCTTCATATTTGATGTTGGGTTTATTAATGGGAATGGAAAAAATAACAGATCATCAAATGAGAGTGTTTCCATCAGTTACATATTACATCACCTTCTTCCTTTCATTAAATTAAATTCTAGTATCATTTTTTGAATTGCCAAAATCTTAGAAGAGGCTAATCCACCACCATCTTCATAGTAGAAAATGGCGTCTTGTGTCCATTTTTGCTTCCTTCTTGTCTTATACATTTTGAAAGGATTTTTTTTCATTTTCTTAATCTTTTTATTTCAAAAGGTTTATTTAATCTTTTTAGCTAAAGTCAATGCTAAGACAAGTGTCTCTTATTTAAGAAAGATTTGCTCGGGTGGGTGTAGAATTAAATCCTTTGGTTAACGATAAAGTTAGATTCTGTACGTGGAATTCAAAGAATTTGGAAACAGCAGATATGTTTTTATATAAAGTTCGCCAATGTGCAATTGCTCTTTGGGGGGGGGGGGGGAGGTTTATTTTGTAAACTGTTGTGATCATTTCCAAAGCATTCTAATCATTTCCTTTTAAAGAAAAAATTGTTTGGTTGATATTGTTCCTCTCTTTTTTACATTAACCGCAGCCAAACAATTTTAGTTTCCAATTTACTTTCCTAATATGCATGCCAAGTCCAACAATAGAATACTTTGGGACAAAAGGAGTATTTTATTTTTATTTCAATGATAAATAAGTTGTTAATTTGCAGCAAGAGCATTGATATTTGGTGCTCTATGGATTCTTCTTGGAAAGCGTGTATGGGTTTTCCCCAACATACTTGCTGAGGAAGCAACTCTGGAAGAGTTATTCCAGTTTTGGCCCAAGAAAGATGAGGGGGAGGCACCGAAGTGGTCAGCGAGGCTATTTTATGCAGTTGTGGCTGTGCTTGCCATTTTGCTTCTCAGACATCATGCTCCTGACGAGGCTGCTAGAGCCAGGTAAGCGTACTCATTATACATATGGCTGTATGTTGTAAAATACGAAGTAAAATAAACTGTGATTATAATTTTCAGATATACTCCGTATTTAATTTATTTTCCTTTTCTATTTTCTCTCTCTATTTTTCAAATTAGGTTTAGATTTATTACTTATTAATAGAAATATATAATACAATGAACTTGACGTTTGAAAAAATATTTAATTTCAGTTATTGATCATGAACGGTTATTTCACATCAAATTTTATTCCCTTCCAAACTTTTATGAGATTAGGCATTGTGAGTTAATGTCCTCATTTTCATTTTTTCGTACTCATGTTTCTAAAAATTGAAACAAAGATTGCATATTCTTTTCTCAATTTTTTCGAACCCTATATGCTCAGTCTTGCTTCTGCTTAGTCTGAACCCCCTGGTCTCCGATGTTTGTTGCCATACTTCCAACTTTGCTTTAACACCGGATTGCGTCTCATCAATCAATACAATATCGTCGGCAAACATCATGCACCACGGTATATCTTTTTGAATTGACTTCATAAGATCATCCATGACTATAGCAAATAAGAAAGGACTCAAAGCAGATCCTTGGTGCACTCCGATAGTAATAGGAAACTCTGCGGTCCTCCTTACACTAATGCGGGCACTTGTAGTACTAACATCATACATATCCATAATGATATTGATGTACTTACGTGATATGTCTTTTCTAGTTAAGGTCCACCAAATGACTTCTCGAGGTACCCTACCATATGTCTTTTCTAAGTCAATGAACACCAAATGCAGATCTTTTTTAATGTCTCTATACTTCTCGGCTTCTCCACAACTTGTCTAAGAAGTTGAATGACCTCAGTTGCTGAGCATCCAAACATAAGACCAAATTGATTCTCCAAAATTTTCACACTTTTACGAAGTATTTGCTCAACCACTCGCTCCCAAAGTTTCATGGTGTGACTCATAAGCTTAATCCCTCGATAGTTGACACATTCTTGTACATCACCCTTATTTTTAAATAGGGGAATGAGAGTACTCCTCCGCCAACTCATTGACATTTTGTTGTTTCTCCAAATCATGTTGAAGAAACATGTTAGCCACTCGATGCCTTTCTCTCCCAAACTTCTTCAAGCCTCGATTGGTATGCCATTTGGACCCACTGCTTTCTTCCACCCCATTTTTCTCATAGCCTCTTTAACTTTTGTTGTTTGAATTCTTCTTACGAAGTCCCGATTTACCACACACTCTGGTATAGTAAGATCATCAATACCTTGCACTTTATTCCCGTTGAACAAGGTATCAAAGTACGACCTCCACCTCTCTTTTCATTCTTCATCCTCCTTTAGTACCCTTTGATCGACATCCTTCACACACTTAACTTTTCCGATATCTTGAGTCCTACGGTCACGAAGGTGAGCAAGTCTGTAGATATCTTTTTGTCTTTCCTTAGAGTCCAATTTTACATACAATTCCTTGTTCACTTTTCCTCTGGCTTCCTTCACAGCTTTCTTTGCTCTTCTTCTAGCCTCCTTGTACTCCTCTATGTTCTCGTTGCTCCAACTTTTGCCCAATTTCTTATAGCATTCCCTTTTGGTCCTTATTGCTTGTTTCACCTCATCATTCCACCAAGATGTGTCCTTTTTTGGTGGCAGACATCCTTTAGATTCTCCGAGTATCTCCTTCGCCACTTTGTTAATGGTGGACTCCATTGATAACCACACATCATCCACATGCGCGTCTTTATCAATAGACCATACATCTTCCTCCAACATTTTGTGTGCAAAACTTTGTTGGAGATTCCCCCTCAAACCTTCACCACTTTATCTTTGGCTCCCCTTGTACCTTAATCCGCCTCCTCATTTTACCTTGAAAATCAATCGCAAGCATCTTACGCTGAGTGACAACACTCTCACTTGGGATAACCTTACAATTAGTGTAGCTAGTTCTCCAAGTCGTTCGTACTAAAAAGTAGTCAATTTGGGTACTATTAGCTCCACTTGTATAGGTGACAAGGTGAAAGTCTTTTTTCTTGAACCAAGTGTTCATCATAGCCAAGGCATATGTCGAGGCAAAATCCAGAATGTTCTTCCCCGCTTCATTTCTAGTGCCAAAACCATGCCCACAATGGATACTCTCAAAACCATCACGACTTGGGCGCACATGCCCATTGTGGTCTCCTCCTATGACCAGCTTCTCTCCCCTTTGCACTCGTCGCACCACTTCCTCAAGATCCTCCCAAAATTCAACAAAGATATATATACAAAAATAAAAATTTCTATTTAGAGAGATAGAATTGTATATAAACTCTTTTGTAGCATTCTTTATCCAAAACCATTTCTCTGTTAAACACAAAAATGTCATTAGATTTAAATAAAGTACTCATGCTCTTGAGAGTTCAGAATTTGAGTGACTTGGACTTTTTGGATGTGTTGGATGACTTTTTGATGTTGTGACTCTTCCGTGTTTGGATGGATCAATTGAGTTAATTTGAAGAGACCATGAGTTATATAAATGTTATTGTAACTCATTTGGAGTGATTTTCAACAAAGTCTCAATTTTATAATGCATAGATTAAAAAAGACTACTACCCTTTGTAGTTTTCAACAAATTCATACACAACTAGCATTGTTCCTAGTAATCTCATAAGTCATAACAGGTAGGGGAAGAAGAAAATTACTCAGTTTGTAGTTTGTGGTATCTGGAGGGGACTGATTGAATCGCGACTCCCACGCGTAGAAATGCTGCGTGAAATCACCAAACTGTTGCGCGTAGCCTTGCATTTGCTGCTCTATGCTCAACAGCCTCAACTGCCAATCGTAAAGGTCCTTTTGCCGCATCTTGTAGGTATCCATCCTCGTGTGCATGCGATCCATAGACTGGATCAAATACTCCATGCCTTGCTCCATGGTTCGATGAGGTACTTGTGGCTAGTGAGCAGGTCCGGAGCTTATTGTGGAGCTTATCCGTAACGCCTTCGTATTTCAAATACAGTACATATGTTCCGTAACGCCTTCGTATACTCCATGCCTTGCTCCATGGTCAGGATATGTACATAAGCTCCATGTTTCTATGTGATCAAGTATGTCGACTAAACTGAAGAGTAAGTTTAATCGAACAACAATTTTGCGTGCATTACTGTATGACATAGCTAGAAGACGGTTAAACAATGTTACATTCAAAAAATTAGTGTGGTCGAGATGCGATGTTGCGTTGGATGTGTGGACAAACTAGGAAAGACCACTTAGGGAGTTAGACAATTAGACAAGTTGTGGGTAACGTGTATTGAAGATCAAATGCGATAGTCTCAATCGTGGTGATTTGACCTTGTGTGTAGAAGATCGAGTGACCGACCTACTAGATGGGTTGAAAGGTGAGAGAAGAGACGAGAGGAGAGGGTAAGAAAGACCCAAATATATGTGGATTAGAGGAGTTAGAAGTGACATACTTCTTTTTAGGTTGGATGAGACTGAATTTGGAAAGTGCAAAATAGATCTAGAATATTTTTGTGAAGGATTGATCTCTTTTCATCTTTTTATCTTTTTATCTTTCTTATATTCTTTATCTTTTTACTCTTTTTATCTTTATCTTATTGTTTTCATCTTTTCTTATCTTTTTATGTTTCTCATCTTTTCTTATCTTTTTATGTTTCTCATCTTTTTATCCTTCATATCTTTCCTTTTTTGTATAGCTCCGGTTTCATGTGTTGATTCTAGTTAGTTGACCCCAAACATTTTTAGACTAATGCTCGGATGTTATGGTATTTGTTTTTTCCATTATTTTCATTTTGTATTTTATGTTTTCTAATTTTGGAAAAGTATGTTTTACCAACACATGTCTTATTCCATTCGTCCCCATGTCTTTGTCCCATTTACTTTTTTCACGTGTCCTATTAAGTTTGTCTCATACCATATTTGATAATATTTGTATTACTCTAATCAATTTTTGTTTTATTTCCATTTTATCAAATCAATACCAGCCACATAACTATACTTTTCTTAATAACTACGCCACCTTCTCTTGTACCAATTTTAAAGGAACAGAGATAGGAATAAATATGGTGTTGAGACAATCTGCGGCGGCAGCGATGTTGACAATCTTATACAGCAGTCATCAGTGGCTGTGGTGGCAGCAATAGTTACAGTCTTCTACGGCGGTGGTCGATGCTATGATTAGTGACGATGATGTACAAGAATGATAGTGGTCACCAATGGTTGTTAATGTTAGTAGTGGGGTGGTTTTGATCACACGGGTATGCTTTTTACATTGCCGGTGGTGGCAATGCCTTCCAGCACGGGTGCTACCAGTCTGGTGGTCGGTTAGGGTTTGTTCAGTATGTATGGTAAATCAAAATTTTGAATTCATGCCATAACTTATTTCGTTATTACCAAATTTCATAGCACCGTAATTTCATGTCATACCCTATCGTTTCAAAATTTTGGTATACCAATAAAGTTTTGGTATTGGTATATCCTTCCGTATTCTTTTATTTGTTACTCTCTCCGTCCCAACCTAAGGTTCTCACTTTCCTTTTTTGGTATACCAATAAAGTTTTGGTATTGGTATATCCTTCCGTATTCTTTTATTTGTTACTCTCTCCGTCCCAACCTAAGGTTATCACTTTCCTTTTTTGGACGTCCCAGCTCAATGTTCTTATTTCTATTATGAAACACGAAACACTCTTAAATGATAATTTAATCATCAATTATTAAAAATAGAGAAAAGGGTCAAATAGGCCCCCTACTATTACGAAAATGTCAATTAAGTCCACCAACTCAAATATCGCTCAATTAGACCCACGAACCATTAAATCGAGGCAATTTGTCTTTTTAGCAAGTGATATTCCGGTTGCCGGTCAAATTACGTAGCTGGCTATGACGTGGCATATTTTCCATTCTTTTTTTTCATTTCACTTTTCTTTTTCTTTCTATTCCTTTCTTCTTCCTTGCTCCCTGCGCATGAACTTCTTCCTCCCTTCTTTTTTCTTCTTCCTTTTCTCTCTTCTGTTTTCTGCTAGCGAGAAGTCCCTTTCCGATCACCTGGTTCGTCACCCTCACCCGTCTTCTTCTCTTATGTGAGTGAACGCCGAAGACAGGATGCTGCCGGCTGACACCACCGCCTCACACCGCCGTCTAACGCCTCCGCCCCTAGTTCTCTACCCCTGAACCAGAACTAAAGTCCGTATTATATTTAAGATCTTCAAATTGGAATCAAGCTCCTAGTCTCGTCGAAGCTAGAGATTGCTAGGACCAAATTGGGATCAAGCTTGATTCCATCCTCTGTCGTTACGAAGGCGTTGGAGCGGCAAAATCGATCAGAGTTTGGCAGCAAAATCGGGCGGCGTTGGCCCATCGAAATGGTGGGATCTACATTTTTGTGATTGGAGTTAAATGGCTCAAGGAAGGAGGAAGAACCAGAGAAGTTACGAATCTGGGAAGGGGAAGAAGAAAACAGGAAAAGAAAAAAAGGAAAGAAAAAGAAAAAATTTACACACGTGTTGCCACGTGTGAAAATTTACCTGGTATCCAGTTGGTTACCTGTTAAAAAGACGATTTGAACTTTTATTCGTAGTTCCGGTGTTTAATTGGGCGTTTTTTGAGTTCGGGGGTTTAATTGACATTTTCGATATAGTACGAGGACTTATTTGACACTTTTCCCTTAAAAATAATACATCTATAACATCACAATTATGATCAATGACCTCATTATATTATATATTCATAAAAAAACTATTTTGCAAAATATTCTTGAATTACTTTCTTTAATTATTGTCTAAATAACCGTGCTATTTTGCAATGAGAACCATTAACCTGAATGGAGGTAGTACGTTACATTCCCTTTGTAAGGGTAGTGAATAGTGTAAAAAAGTAGGAGAGATGTGAAAAAAATACAAAAGGGAAGCTGAAAAAGAGTAATCGAGTATTTTTAAAGGAAAAATTTACCAAAAAGAGAAAGTGCAGTAAATAAACAAAACTTTCCGATGTGTATTAATAAAAGAATATGGAGGGAGTACTTAATTTGGATAATATATAACCAATATTGGTATGCCAACAAAGGTACTGTATATAGAATGGACTTTGGCATATGAGATTTTGTATACCCTAAACTCACAGTATTCCGGTATTTTGGTACATAACATAGTACAAAAATTTATAATTGCATACCAATACCATACTGAATCATTCTGGTGTGGCCGTGTGGGACCACCATATCATAAAAATACTAAGTGTCAGTATTTTGTAAAAATGACTTTTTTGCACAGTAATTTCTATATTTATATATCCCAATCAGTCATGGCAGACGTTGCTAGTGGCTGTAATTGGCGGTGGTGATTATTCAGGTTTGGGTGGTAGCGGTAATGGTAGTTGTGGTCAATGGTTGGTTGTAACTGACTCTACTCATAGAGATTGTGTTAGAGTTAGTTGGTGGGATTGGAGTCATGGTGGAGTTGCTCACATTGCCGATCAAAGGCGGTTAATTGTGGTAGGGGTTGCCATCCATAAAATATGTGGGTGATTGTAGTTGCCTACACTGACTTTATTTTTGAAAATTGTGTTCTGTCCTTGGAAAACAAAAAATATGTCTTCTAGTTTTATGGGAAAACAAGGATTTGAAGAACAGTTTTCGTGTTTTTTAAATTATAAAACCGGTGAACTGGTAAAGTAAATGTATTCTCTTTTCTATTTTCTAAATTTGGAATTCCGTTGTCCAGAAAACCTAAAAATTTTCCGTTAATAAGCGGTCTCTCTGTTTTCGATTTTGACCTGGTGTATAAAACATCAATATTTTTTAAAAATTGATTTTTGAAATACATACCGTGTAACTAATATTTTGTCATACCTTATCTTTTTATCTTTCTTATCTTTCTTTTCCTTTTGGTTATATTATCATGTATCGATTCATGTTAGCCGACCCAAAATCTTTTGGGACTAAGGCTTGAATGTTGTTGCTGTATCGTTACTACATTTTTTTAATCTTTTCATCTTTTATGAGTTACCTATCTTATGTTCTTATGTTTTTTTATCTTATACTTCCTCCATTCTTTAATTCTTGCAACATTGTGATTTTTGCACTATTCACAGACCTTACTTTGGCAACGATTTTCTACTAATATACATAATCAAATTATTACGTATAAAATGTTATTAAATTCCTATCAATGTGAATTTCCGAAATATCAAATTTTTTATAATGTTTACTAATACATTATTAAATATAATTACAGTCAAAGTTGTGCGTTAGCAAACGTGAAAGTCAAACTGTTGCAAGAATTAAAGAACGGAGGATAGTACTATCGTATTTATTTTTATCTTATCCATTTTATCTTACCTTATCTCTTTATTTTTCATACTTTCTCCTCTTTTTGGCTTTGATATCATGTTAGCAGATCCCATAATTTTTTGGGAATAAGGCATAGATGTTGTTGTATACTGTATAAGTGCATAACTAATATATATCTGAATTGAAACCATACCAGTGAAACAGGTTTTACGGCCAAGAAATATGAAAGAACCTAAAGTAAATTAAAATTTCTGAAAACACAAAACACAAAACAGAAAGCTATCCCAGAGTATGTTTTTGCATTTGGATAGTTACTATTTGCCTTATTGGTTTACTGTGTACTGGATTCTTAATTATCTAATGGAAGATGATAACTCTAAACTAAATGCTAAGGACCGGATAATTCACATTTACCATGTATTCATGGGTATAGCTGGGGTGGGAGCAACTTGGGACCTGGTTCACCCCGAATTCGGCAAAAACCTTTATCTTGTGTGTAAAAGTTTGCGTAAAAAATTATATGAAAAGTCTTTCTACCGTTCTGGCTATGCCATTGTACATATTCAATCTTTAGTTTAACAACACTGAACTTTTTTTTTGCTGTATACATAAAATCTTGGGAGCCGTGTTTTATTTGTGTGGATTTTTTAGTGGCATTCTTATGTTTCACTGTTTCACATGCTGTATTAGGGATTTAGGGTCTGAATGGCTGAATTAGTTGCATTTTCTGAAAATGAAAGAGTTTATTATAATCAATTTCACTCAAATAAGTTAAATGCTACTTATACAGATTTTTCCATGTATTCTGATAATAAGCAGAGTAATCAGAAGGTGCCGATTTTTACTACTGAACATGGCCTTGATTGTTGAGTGGTCTAATGAGTGAATGTTTCTCAAGTCTCAACAATGTCACTCAGCCGGCTATAATTGCTCATGCATGCTTCCTTGTGTTGTAGGTATCAAAGGCGGGTTTCTAATATTATCGATGATGTGATTGAGTGGTCACCGAGTCTGGCCCTATCTGGAATGATGGAAAAACAAACTGCGGGAAATAATGTCACTGAACACCACAACAGTACTGCAACAGAAGATGGCAAAAACGAAGTTGATGCAGTAGAGGAGGCTATAATGGGGGGAGAAGTAGAATATGAAGAGGAGTTTGGCAAAAATATAGAAGAGAGTGATCCCTCAACAAGTTTATAAGTTTTATCAAGTGTATGTAACAATATAAATTACTAGTAGACTAGTTTATCTCTATATATTTTACTTTCCTTGTGCCTAATTCTATGCAATTCGTTATTATATCGAACTATATAATTGATAATTTGATATGGTGGATAATTATAAAAAGCATACGTCAACCAGTTCACATTTTTTTGTGTGTGACAAGTGAAGTGTCTAGAGAAAAACTGATGGATAGTGTACCCGGGAGTAGCTTATCCGAGGGTTATTGCGGAGAATAATTAGAAAGAAGTCAGAGCAAACAAGTAAGAGAGAGAGTGTATATTCGATATGCGAACTTGTGTTGTCTTTACCACGGGGAATGAGCTGCTATTTATAGCAGTAATAAATGCTAGATAGAGACACGTGTCAATAATCTGGTGGTCGAGGGGTCACCTCAATCGGGGTGACACTGGCACTCGCATGTGGCCGCATTAAATGCGGTGGTTGGATGCGACGTTTATACTTGGTACGACGATCCAGTGCATGTGGAGAGGATATTCTGTCGAGGAAGACGCATTCAGCTGTATCTACTGTGTCGAAGGCTCCATGGGCCGGGGGCTGCAGGTGCCGAAGGCTTGGTTTTCAAGCCTTATTCTCCTGTGATGTTTCTGAGCTCGAATTTGTCAATGGTGGCCTTTGGTTATGGGGTTGAAGGCACTTCTTTGCGTATTGTGGGCTGCTTAGAGCTTCATCTTGCTGGGCTGGGCCTGTTTTGGGCGTGTTGGGCCTGATTCCAGTAGTGGGAGTACGTGGGCCGGGGGTCCCCGGGCCATATACTCCATCACGAGTCCTTCACTCCTTTTGTCGAAAGGTACTTGAGGGAAAAGGAGTAAATGTGTTTGTCCTCTGATGCTGGTGTTTACCTCGTTGTTCGTAGAGTTGTGAGAGGTTTGCGTTGCCTGTTTTACCGAGGGCAGTCCCTCAGTCCTCCATAGTTTGGGACTGAAGGGTTTTTAGGGAACTTTTTAACATTTTTATGATTTTCCCGAGGGCATTCTTCAGTCTCCCACTCCTTGAGGTACATGTAATGTGGTGAAGAGGAGTAGAGTAGTGCCTATTTTCAGTATGGGGCCGAGGGCTGACTATTTTCGTTTCATTTTGGGGGGATGCCTCGTTAAAAACCTCATTAGGAAAAAACCATGTGGGAAAAAATCCTAATGGGGGAAAAAGAGTGCATCGAGTTCCTCCAATGATGAATCGAAAAAGATGGACCCTTGGTCTGAGTATAACGTTGTAGCCGAAGGCTACCCTTGATCTGAGGGCTTTGGTTGTTGATTTGACGAAGGTACTTTGTTGACATCCCGGGGATGCCGAGGGGGTCCCCTAGTCATTGAGGACTGAGGGCGTGATGAATGCAGATGACAGTTCTTGGATTGCCGAGGGGTTTCCTTCTCAATATTTTTTTGGGGGCTAAGGGCAACCGAGGGGGTTCTCTGACCTTTAAACCGGGGGCGTCTCTTGATGAAGGATTTGAGTGTGATAGCCCGATGGCTGGCTCCATTGATGCACGAAGGGTGGGTGTCAACCGGGCTTGGGCCAAAAACCGGGCACCCGATGGGAAAATAGCCGTTGTAATATGACCGTTGGAGAGGGTTTCCACGTCGCGCTTGTTCGTTGGCTACCCGCGGGCAGGTGTCACCGGTTGGCTTAAGTGACGGTGTGTAATGATGATTTTCCCATCGGGTGCCCGGTTTTTGGCCCAAGCCCGGATTGGGGGGGGGGGGGGGGGCTATAAATACCTAAGGCCTGACCTCATTCCTCCTTACACATCCTTGTTGTAGCGAAGCTCTAGCAAAAATTTCCTAGAGAGAGAAACTGTTTCCTCCGATCAAATTCAGCTTTCAAGGTCAGTTCTTCGCTCTGTTCTTCCCTCCTTTAGTAGGTTTTGCTTCGCTGCCTTAGATCTAGTGTTTAGAGATCCTTAGGAAAATTTCTTCCCTCGAACCCTTCGAACACATTACCGAGGATGTCGTCCGGGAGTGATTCTCAAGATATTTCGAGGGAGCCGTCGGCTGAACTAGAGAGCATATCTGATGTGGAGCCTTCGAGTGAGGAGGCCTCGTCGAACGGTGATTCCGCTGTCGCCATGGAGGTGGAGAAGGACCTCAGAGCTGAGGCTGAGGCTGAAGAATTCAAGCAAGTGATCGAGGACGAGGAGCTGGCCCTCGCCGTTCAGACTGCGGAGGAGGAGGAAGAGAAAGAGAGGCAGAGAGTTACCGTCACTATCCTTCCCCCACGCAACACTGGTCAAGCCGGCAGTTCCCGACCTCTAGACCCGACGCCTCTCCGGGTGGCCCCGGGGAAGAAGGCCAAGAAGAAGACGGGCCCCCAAGAAGAAAGGGAGCGCCGCGGATCAAGGAAAACCCATCGGCATACCGGAGGGCCATTCGTTCTTGAACACTGAGGCCCTTGCGCCTGAGGACGAGGGCTGACCGGGCGGAGTGCTACGTCACCCAGATTCATGTCGGTACTTCGGCGACTGTGGTGGAACCAGGCCCCAACGATCTCCTATCCCAAGCGCCCGAGGGGTGCTTCGCAGTCCATATTCTCTCGGTGACAATGAGCCTTCGCTTCCCGTTGCATCCTTTCCTCGTTGAATACCTTCGGTACGTTGGTCTAGCTCCCTGCCAACTTACCCCTAACAGCCATTCGTACATCGCCGGTTTTCTGAACCTCTGCCGGTCCCAGGGGGTGACTCCTAGCCTTGATCTGTTTTTCCAAAGCCTCAACCTATGCCGGGGGGGGGGGGGGGGGTCACGCTAATGCTGAGGGCTTCGCTAACCTGCAGCAGATCACCAAGTGGAAGCTGTTCTCCAACGCGCCCTCGTCCCATAAGGGCTGGAAGGACCGGTTCTGTTATATCAAGATGGCAGTGAACCCGTTTCCGGGGGAGTTACAGAACCACTTTAGGCGTCATCCGAAGGTGGAGGGTGCCGCTTTTGAGAAAGATGGAGAGAAGCTTTCGGCCATTCCAGAGGGGCGTGAAAAGCATGTGACCATCAAGGAGATGACTCTCGAAGATGGTTTGTATAAACTCGGCTTCCGGCACTACCGCTTCTTGGGGGAGATGGATGAAAAGTACCCCGTTCTCGGCGTAGCCTTCGAGAGCGCAGGAGGTAGTTCCCGGGGGCTCCATTTTTTATGCACTTATATTTTTTGTAGTTTGTACACAAATATATATTTTTTTTGTCTTGACCCCTCAAGCTCATTTATTCGTTTTGTCTTGCAGGCGCTAACATGGATATCAACTCCTTTGCCGCTTTAAAGAAGCAGAAGGCGAAGGGCCAGGGCAAAAAGGAGCCGGGCAAGCAGAAGCCCGTTAGCGACTTTTTCAAGAAGGGTGGTGAGCCCTTGGCGGTACCTACTGATGATGCCGTAGCTGCCGCCAAGAGGAAGGCGGCCGACAAAGGAGTCGCCCCCATCAGCAAGATGCTGAAGAAGGGGGATGTTGAGAAGAAAGCTCCTTCTGTGGTGATTGTCGAGGGGCATTCATCCTCTGAGCCCCCGGTCATTTCGGTGACCCCTTCCCAGGCCCTCGTGGATGAGGGGGGCCTGCCCAGGGAGAGTATCCAGTTCTCTCTCCTCAAGGGAACGGCCATCGTGCATGGCACGGTGGACCCGAAGGAGTTCCTGAGAGGTGCCACCCCCTCGCTGGACAAGGCTGCTCTCAGCCGAATGGATGATGAGGCCATCGACAATAAGATCCTTCGTTCCTCCCTTACTGTAAGTTTTTCTTTCCTCGTTTCTTTTCTTCTCGCCTTAGAGTATTTTTGCATGGTGTCCTAATCGTTTTCGTTTGTTGTTTTGCAGACTTGCATTGCCCTTGGTGAGCAGGTCCGGAGGCTTGAAGAGTGGCGCCCTCGGAAGGCACAGGAGGATGAGAAGCTGAAGAAGCTTATTCATGACAATGCCGATGCCGTGAGGCAGATGGCTAAGTTGAAGGAGGAGCTGCGGCAGGCGAAGGCCGAGGCGGAGAGAGCTACGGCGGAGAAAGTCGAGGCTGAGAGGGCCACCGCTGAGGCCGCAAAGAAAGCTGTCGAGGAGGCCGAGGCCGCCAAGGCGGAAGCCGTCGCCAATTCCCGGGGAGATGCTGTTTCCGCCTTCATCGCCAAGGAGTGGAGGGCCGAGGACCAGAGTCAATGGGTGGCCTCGGTGGTGGAGGCCTCGGGGGATGCTTAGGTGAAAGGCCCCGGGGCTATGTGGCTAGCCCGCAAGGGCGAAGACTATTATGCTGGGGGGAGTTTTTCACTCAAGCCCTAATCTACAGAAGGCTAGCTCAGCACTTTCAAGTGGATCCGAAGGACTTCGATCCTACAGCATATGGCCTCCCCCCTTCAGCCAGATGTCAGAATCCCCCTCCCCCCGGATGCTGAGAGGCCGGATCTCGAACTCCGTGCTGATGCAAGAAGTTGTGGGCGATGGTGAGGAGGCAGAAGGGGATGCCACTTCCAAGCCAGCCAAAGTGGTTGCTACTGAAGCCGTCAATCCCTGATTTGTACTTAGACAGTTTTTGAAATATCTTGTAGCAAACATTTCTTATCTTCCGGCTTCGGCCTTGATGTATAACAATTTACTTTTCTTTTGTTAATGAATGCGTTCGCCTGCTGTTGAATGAATGCCTTCGTTTTTGTTCTTGTGAATGAATGAATGCCTTCGTTTTCTTGTGAATGAATGCCTTCGTTTTTGTTCTTGTGAATGAATGCCTTCGTCTTTTGATGTTTGAATTGACAACTTTAAGAATGTATGTCTGCATTGTGGGTTGGCCGGGGGCCAATCACTCAGGACTTATAAAATTTTTCTAAGTGTTGTTCAGTGTTAGGCCTTCAGTCGATGCTTCCTTCTTGGTCTTGTGTAGCTTGTCATGTGTTGACCGAGGGCCAAAAATTTAGGACTTGGAAAATTTTCCTAAGTGTTGCTTACAACTTGGCCCTCACTTGACATCTTCTTTCGTGTGCCTTGTTTGTGTGAGTTCTAAGCCCTCATCCATTGGTGGACGGGGGCCAATAGTTTAGGACTTAGAAAATTTTCTAAGTAATATTCACTGCTGGGCCCTCAGCTGATGTCTCCCTCTAGTCCGCATGAATGCCATGAGCTGACCGAGGGCCTAAGATTTAGGACTTAGACACTTTTCAAGTGGTGCTTTGCCATTAGGCCCTCGACTGACACATCCCACCAGCTGTATGAAGTAGCCGACCTTTGCCATATGTCCCCGGGGGAACCGGTGTGTGGACTTAGCCAAATTTTGAGTGATGCCATGAATGTGCCCTCGGCTTGTAGTAGTCTTAAGCAAAGTTTTCTTCAGCAAAGGATGGTGATGCCGTGGGCCCTAAGTCATGGACTTAGAGAATTTTGTATTGGGCCGGGGGATGCAGTAGTGATAGTCAAACTTGGCCCATTCCTAGCATAGGAGCCTCCGATGATGTTGGATTCCAAAATGTGGACTTAGGAATTCTTGAGTTCAATGTATTATAGCCGGTGCCCTCGATCCCCGTTGACTTCTCGAAGGATGTACATTAGGTGCCTTCGACCTTATCTTTCAAACTGTAGGCTTAGATGATCTCAGCCTGAAATATGAGGGCTGATGCCTTCGGTCCATGTTAATTTTCAAAATGTAGGCTTTGGAAATTAAGTCCCATATACAGCGTTTGATGCCTCCGGTATGTGTTGAAATTCCGAGGGCTGGCAGAACGTGGACTTGACCACATTTTGGTAACACTTTGGTGGGTAGTAGCCTTCGGAATAAGGGCCAATGCCAAAGGTGACTTCCTGAATAAGAGCCTTCAGGTACCGAAGGCATTCCCCAGGAGAGCCTTCGGTATGGTCTGGAATACCTTGTGAGGAGCATTGTTGGTAGTTGCCGGCGGGTGTTTTGTTGTAAATTTATACTCATTGATTGCTCGTTGAGTCTACTCCCCTTCACTCCATCTTTTTTTGATAGTGAAGGGAAGGCTTCAAGAAACTTGGTTCCTTGGTAAGGCTTGGCCTATCGGGAGGCAATGGTATACACGACTGGCTACCCCCTCGGGATTAACCTTCTGGGTTCCGAGGAGATCGAGGGTCGTTTCCTTGGCACGAGACATAATCTGTTGCATGCCTCCCCTTGGGGGATGGCACGGAAAGCGCCTCAGTTTTGAAAGTCGTTCCCTCAGCACGAGACATAGTCTGTTGCCTGCCATATTCCCTTAGGGTAATGGCGCGGGAAACGTTTTGTTTTGAAAGTCGAATCCCGAGGCATATTAGTTGCCAGCCATTCCCTTGGGGTAATGGTGTGGAAAGCGTTTCAGGGAAGGGTTTTATTTGCATATTAGTTGCAAAAGGCCATGGTACTTGGTACCTTCGGCACCGATAGGTGGGGTCTTCGGTATGATTGCATCCTTGAGGGGTACATATTTATTTTTACCACTTGGTGTTATTTTTTCGCATACAGTACCCTCGCTACTTGGTACTGAGGGGTCTTCCTTTAAAAACACTTGGTGTTTTCTTTTGTTGTCGTAGTTGATTGCAGGGTCCACCCTCGGCACTTGGTGCCGGGGGGTCTTGTGATAAGGCCTTGGGCTAGGAGCTTGCATGAGGGCTTGGCCGCTCATGTGTGCTGTGTACTTGGTACTTTTGGTGTCTTCAACATGTGTTTATTCTTGAAAAATTGGAGGCCTTGGGCCGTTGGATAATACATTGGTAAGTCATGAGGGCTTGGCCTCTCATACGTTACTGATAAAATTTTACCAGGTGGTGTACATTCCAGTGTCTAGGGACCTCGGTCCCATTGGGGCGTTTGAGCTTGTACGTCCCTGGTTTGATGGTGGTTGTGATGATGTAAGGGCCTTCAAATTTTGGCACCATTTTGCCGCCCTCTGTCGGTTGGCTGGCTTCTCTCCTTCGGAGTACATAGTCCCCCACCTGGAATTCTCGGGAGCGGACCTTGGCGTCGATGTAGCCCTTTACTTGTCTTCGGTAGTTTTCAGCCCTTAGGAAGGCTTGCTCTCGGCGTTATGAGATCAGGTGAAGGTCGAGGTCCATGTTGGCGTCGTTGACCTCAGGTTCATATTGGTCTATCCTTCGGGTAGGAAGGGTCACCTCTGTGGGGGCTTTAGCTTCAAATCCATAACATAGGGAGAAGGGTGTTTCGCCTGTTGCCCGCCGGGGGGTGGTGCGGTATGCCCACAAAATGTTGTGGAAATCTTCGACCCGGCCTTCTCCTTCGGCTTCCAATTTATTTTTTAGGCCCTCGAGCAAGGTCCAGTTGGCGTTCTCTACTTGACCGTTGCCCTGAGGGTAGGCAACATAAGAGAAAGTATGCTTGATGCCCCATGCTTCTAGGAGGGCACAAAAGGGGGCTGCCTCAAATTGAGTCCCGTTATCGGAGATGATTTGTTGGGGGACGCCGAACCTTGTGAGGATGTTTTTAAGGACAAAATGACGGCATCTGGCTTCAGTAATGCTGGCGAGGGGCTCCACCTCCACCCACTTGGTGAAGTAGTCGACGGCGACAATGATGTACCTATTGTTGGAGGTACCCATCGGCAGTGGGCCTACCAGGTCGATGCCCCATCTGGAGAAGGGTATGGCTGTGCTGATGGGGGTATAGTTGACTGCTGGTCTTCCGGGGGCCTTCTGAAAGTGTTGACAGGCGGTGCACCTTCGAGCGAGGTCCGCACAATCTCGGGCCATCGTGGGCCAGAAGTAACCCTGAACTATGAGCCTCTGGGACAACTTTGATCATCATTATATTTAATTCTGTATTAGTAAAAATAAAATAAAAATCAGATTATAAAACTTAGTAATGAGACAAATTTAACAACATTTTTCAAAAAAATAATAATTCACATACATTAATAAATAATATGTAATCAAAGTAAAGTACATGAATAGTGTATATATTCCAATGTTGCAATTAATGAGATACGGAGGATAGTATGAAATATTTAGAAATTCGATATTGGTTGACTGAATTGGAAAATATATGTTGTTGCAGAGATTTGAAGGTTGTGGTTTGATGGAGTGGTTTGACCCTCCGATGTGCAAAAGGTCTCAAACAATAATCCCTGGATTATTGAAAAAACTGATTGCCTATGAAGAAAAAATCCAATCATTGGAATTGAAGGTTCAAACATTGGAGACAAGCTGGTTCAAAGCACAGAAGAAGAAGACAAAATGTAGTAACTGCATTACAGTTGTGTGCTTTATGTGTGTTGTGGTTATTATTGTTTCAGTGTACTTGAAAGGAAAATAATGTAGTTGTAGTGGTGATGAGGTGTGTGATGATGTACTTGTAAAAGCTTTGTAAAAGCTGTTAATTATCATGACTTGGTATGAAATGAAATGAAAGTTATATGATCATGAGTCAAACCTGTGCATAATTAGTTGAGTAATTGGTTGTATTGCCTTGGTATGAAATAACTCCAAAACGACTTACAAATGTGTAGAACACATATGTATGTTAACTGATGACTTGAAACCATTGGACCACAAATCTCACTTAAAAACATGCAATTATGACTAAGTTAACAACCATATAGTCACTTCAAGTACCATTGACAAATGACATATGACAAACTTACTCATGACAACCTTACTCAAACAGTACATATCTGTGAAGCATGACAAACTTAACAACCCTAACATACAACTGACATCACTACCATTGTTTGTAGTTAATTAACAACCTATTAATACATTACATGAGATCATACACAACCAAAATGCTAATCCATGCATTACATGAGATCATCCAAAAACTTGATATCATACACAACCAAAATGCTAATCCAAACATTACATGATGACAGTGATATCATGAATAGCCAACGTGTCTCAAAAACATAGAAGCTTTAACAATACAGTCACTTACAAAAAGCCAAAAAGGTACTCCATACATTACATCATCAAAGTAGCATCATGAATACACATTTTAGTCCACCCACTACTGTATATCAATGGGGTCATCATCATTTCCAAAGAAGACTGATTTGAAAGTGTTGAGGTTTATTCCCCTCAACCCACAGGCCCAACACGTAACCTGGGGGTTTCGAATGGGTAGAAGGCAAATGAACTCACTAAACAAACGGGGGGTGGATTTAATAACTGCTTTCTTCACTGTTATGATTACAAGCCGAAAGGCCGAACGTACTGAAAATATACTACGTGCTGCTGATGCTGTTACAATTCTAGAGTCATGAAGTGCGAACCCTTTACAATGAAATAAATGCGACTATTTATAGCACCCCCTGGTGGTTGGGGGGCTGACGTGGCCGGCTGTGGGTGACATGATTCCAACTACCAAATCTTCAGCATTAAATGCGCTTCCCGCCAAGATCTTGGTTTCCCGCCATAACGCGGGGGACGTCCGTCCCCTAAACTGGACTCAACTCTTTGGTGGCAACCCGGGCCCTTAAGTATAGCCCACAAGACGCCCGTCCCCTGACCCTTAGGCCTTGGAGACCTGGTTGTGCTGGGCTACGTACGTCCCGTGGCCCTTGGCTCCTGAGGCCTGGCTATGCTGGGATACGTACGTCCCCTG